GCACTCGCCACCACTCTTTCATAATAGAATTCACCTAGTGTCATCAGAAAAGTCTTGGTCATCTCTTTTTATTCCATTGGAGGAATCACCTGGTCGGATACTTCATGCCATCTCTGTGCATATTCCTTAAATGACTCATTGTCCTTCTAGACCATGGCCCTGAGTTGATCACAGTCAGGTGCCATATCCATATTGTATTTCTACTGTCTGATAAAAGCTTCACCCAAGTTGTTGAAATAATGAATATCGACACTGTCCAGGCTCATGTACCATTTCAATGTTGCACCAATCAAACTGTCTTGAAAGAAATGAATTAACAAGCGTTGATCATCTGTATGGGTAGACATTCTCCTTACACACATCACTAAGTGAGCACGAGGGCAAGTGTCTCCCTTGTACTTTTCGAACTCCGGTACTTTGAACTTTGCAGGTATCTTCACATTTGGCACCAAACATACATCATTCACATTCTGCCCAAACAACTCTTTTCCTCTGAGGGTCTTCAACTCTTTCTGCATCTTATCAATCTAATCTTGAAAATCGTCCATTTGATCATAGAAACTCAAGCATTCACTTGGCAGAGGAATAGGGAAATACACTTCATCATTAACAAAAGGGACCACATTCACCGAGGGAGGTGCAACTGTCATACCTCAAATTTGCCCTCCCTTTTATTTCTACACTCAAAAATATTTTAAACATTGTTTTTATAATATTATTTGATTCTTATAGACGTTCATTCTTAAGTCCAGTCAAAAATATTTTAATCATTGTTTTTATAATATTCTTTGATTTTTATAAATATTCGCTTCCAAACCTGTTTAAAAATATAATGATGTATTTCAAATCATTTGTATTTTTGAATAAATAAATATTCACACACCTTTCATATACTTTCAATTGAGTTTATTTACAAATGACTAACATAGCACAATTGGTAAAGGATGAAGCTTACAAACACAAGGTTGCGGGTTCGAATCTCTTATGCCACGTTTTTTTCCTATTTTTTGTCACTAATTTTCTTTCCTTTTTTATAGGTGTTTCTTATTGGCCATTTGATGTAAATTTGTGTCACACTTTGTTTTTATTGGTTAATTTTGTTTTATTTCTAATTTGGATGTTTTTTTAATCTATAAATAGGATCTTAGTTTGTCCATGTTTTTCATCCATAATCTTACGATTTTCACTCATATACACTTTATTTTTTTGTTTGTTCTTTTCAATATTATTAGTATTAATTTGATTTTTTTTAGTTTTGGCCGATGATTTCATATGAGGCCTGTGATACGGTGGGAGAACTGACTTGATTGTTTTGCGTTTGTGTTTGCAAATATAGCGGTTTATCAAGAGTCGCCACCGACTTTTCTTTTATCCAAAAGGAAAGGTGAAAAAGCACAGGAAAGACCTTTAGAGATGTTTTCTTGAGTTCGGGGGGTAGATTATGAAAAGGGAAGGTATTAGCACCCTTTTCATCCATGGTTTCCATGGGCTCTTAGTTGCTTGCTAGATCACTTGCTTTTGTTTTGAAATATGCTTTGTGATGTGGGTTTTGAAAGTATTTTGAAAACGTGACTTTGTAATGATTCTCGTCTCTATAAGAATGCGTACAAAGTGTTGTTTTGAAAATAGTTCAAAAAGATGTTCGTGGAATATGTTTTTTGAAAGTGATTTTGAAAAGGGTTTCCTTTGTAATGGCTCTCGTTTCTATAAGAACGCGTACAAAGTGTTGTCTTTCGAAAATGTTTTCAAAATGAAAGTGTGGGTGTATAAATGTTTTGTTTTGAGCGAGCAAGCAACTAGGAGCAAATCTACCTACTAAAAAAGGTCTTAATTGTTCTTTCCCCCCTCCTTTAGATGTTGCTATCTTACCATTGTTTTGGTAAGAAGCCCCATCGTTGGATGTGAAGGGACAAGCATGGGACGTTTATGTAGTCATAGAAGGAAACCTATAGGAAGTTTTAGAAATGTCGTTTAGGGACTAGATCGTTTACCGAAGGCAACATCAAGGGTCATCGTGGGACCATGATCTTGTATTTCAATTGTTTTTGCTAAGACACCCCACATGCATAACATGACCATTTTTTAAGAAACAAGTGGAGTTAACCTTAAGGGTGCTTGTGTGCAAGTGTGTTTGATTGCATGCATTTTTAGTCTTGATTAGGGTTATCTACTTGTCAATTTCATGTTTTTCCATACACACCCTAATTACTAGCATTTACATTCAAAAGCGATAAATTACAGAAATGTAAAGTCCTACGCCATTACAATATTTTAGGGATGGGGGTACATATTTATGAATGGGGGTTGCAAATAAAATTAAATCCTAAGTTACTATTACAACCATATTTAAATGGATAAGAATGTACAAGAAATGTAAATTGGATTTGTTTTATTTTAGAAAAGAGATAAGTTTTTTGTTTAAGAAAATATTTTTTTTATCTTTTTGATTAATGAAAAATAAAAGTGATGGCAAAAAATAATAAAGGAAAGAAGACAAAATCAACGTAAATGCTGAAATAGAAGAGGTCAGAAATTCTGACTCTGACGTGCTGTACAAACAGAAACAAACGTTAATAGGAATAAGGAAATTCAGAAGTTCTGGATCTTCTGAGAACTCAGAAGTTTTTCAGAAGTTCTGATGCTACTGAAAGAACTATGCCTCTCTTCTCCATGCTAGTCAGAACATCTGCAACTTAGTCATTTCTTAACAGAACAGAAGTTGCGCATATCATAGTTATGAAAAGTTTCATAATGTTTCAGGAACAAGAGATATCAGCAACACAAATCAAAAGCAAACATGAATTGGCTAATCTTAATCCTGAGTCCCAATTTCTTCGTGAAACTCTGAACTAGGATTCTCTCTTTTTAGACAGGTAGATGCATGAAATCTCAGAATATATACATTATCAAAATCAAAATATCTACATTGTGTTAAATATGTAAAATCTGAAAATGCCTAAATAATATGATGAGAGTCAGCAGAAACTTACCTTGCAGCTGGAAAATACTTCTGGGAGCTGGAACTTGGTCCTGACCACTTATGGTGTTCTGAACAGCTTCCTCACGTGTTCAGTAGGCTGGAGACTTTCAACTTGGGCTGTAAATGATTAGAAAATTCTGGAACAACCAAGGGACAAAGTTCTGACGCTTTGAGGTGGATACTGATGGAGAGGGTATTACAGATTGGCTACAGAAGTTAGGATGGTTTTTGATATATATCAGAAACTGTTTGGGTAGTTTTGGTCAGGAAACACTTGAGGAAAAATGGAGTTTTGATGCAGGAATCAAATGCTAAGGTTTTTGTATTTTTTGTGCTTACAATCTTTTTGGACTCTTGGAATTTTTTGCAGGGGGTTCAAGGCTTTTCTTTCTCAAGTTTTTTCGACCCTTTTAAAATGGCTTTCAATTTATAGGCAAAGATCTTGTAGCTTGGAGAGTGCAACCATCACATGCTAGGGTGCTGCCTTGCTGTTGAAGCAAGTATGATGGTTAGTAGCCTTAGCAGCGCCTAAGCTGGAATTGTAAGCATGAATTGAAGAAAAGTACCCTCAGAAGCAAAAAGCGAAGCATGGGCCCAACATAAACTTTGTATAAAATCTGGTTTTCAAGGACAACAATGGTACTTCTATGCCACACGTGGGGAGATCCTTTGGATAAAGATTCAAAAGTGGTTGTGAGCATTAAATGAGCATTAAATGATGATGAGATTTATCAACCCAGAAATCTTGCAACGTGATATTCTGCATCATTGCTTAGTTCTGGGTAAGAGGTTCAACTTCAGCATAATTTAGAATAAGCATCCAACTTCTGATCCTTGTATCTCCTTGCTCCAGCATGTTCTGAAGGAACTCTCAGACTTTCCAGGAAGCTTGTAGCACACTTTATAACCTTCTTTGAAATACCCTTGCAAATTCTGACTGAACCTTTATGAAAACTGGCCCAGAAGTTCTGACCCAATTCTGTCTTAAAAATGTCCAGAATTTGCTGAGTGCTTTAATTTCAAGGACGTGTCTTTGAACATTTATAACTTGAAATTCCAGCATTTCCAGGGGAAGTTCTGTTCTGCAATGTTTTAGATTTTATTGAAATCCATAACTTTTGTGCCAGAAGTTCTTCCAGAATCAGCTTGCATCATGGTGATAAACTGATAAGAAGTTCTGAGCTTGTCATATTTCTTAAACACTTAGAAAAATTATAAGTATTTAGAATTTTGACTTTTGAACTTCTTGATGAAACAAACTTCATATTTCAACATGTCTTGATGAAATATGACTCTTGAAATTTGATTTTGATCAAAAGTCAAAGTTTGACTTTTCAATGCGCAAATGACCATTTTGCCCTTGTAGGCGACTTTCTTGAAAAATTTTGTAATTCAAGGCTTGGAATTGGATGGAATCAAACCTGAGGGTCCAGGGTGATTCTTTGAGAAATGAAAGGGCAAATTTTGGGGTACAACAAGGCCGCTTCCTCTTATTTTACTTTCTTAAGTTATTTGTTACTCTAACCATATGACGAGTCTATGATGACTCTTTCTTTAAATGAATTCACTATGTTATTTGCTAACACACTGTAAGCACTCTGATTTCTACATATAATTCGCAATATATATCCCACGTTTGTTTACCGTATAGATGATTTCTTTCTTTGAGCCACTTAGTATTGGTAATAACCTTCCATAGAATTTCACTTTTTATCCAATTTTATACATCCTCTCACATGCTAACAGTAATAATTTTTTTACTTTCGACACAAATTCTGAACACAATTTTCTACATTGACACAATACACAATAATTCATGGTACATATTACACCATATACAAACCTAACAATTTCTCCCAAGACCAATTTCCATTCACATTCTATTCACAATATCTCACAGTCAGTACACCAATATTGTTCACTCATCAAATTACTCACTTGTTCATGTCACTACACATATAAATCACCATTTTCAATCTGCACGAACAGTTGATAATAACAACAACACAAAGATTTGGGATCAAAACACAATAATTTTAAATCCGGTAGAAAAGAGAAGAATGATTTTCAATAACAACAATATTCTATTTTGTTTCTTTTTTTTCTCATTGCAGAGCAACAACCAATAAATAGAAATCACAAAATTCTGAACAAAAAGAGGAAGAAAAATTATCGTGAAAGACTCGGTTCCGACGAGATCCATCCGGGCTGCAGAACTGCCACGCATCCTTGACTGTGCAGACTCCGATCGCGCCACCCACAACCAGCCTCGTATCGCTCCACCACGGGTAACATCATCTGTGTGAAATCTGAAACTGCAGTCAAGATTAATTTTTCCGTCGTGACTCTGATGGTTGTTGTTGAATGAAGAGATCATGTGATTTAAGAAGCTTTGTTGTTGTTTTTACCACCACCAAGAGGAGATTGTTTGAAATTTCTTTGATGCAGAAAATGATGGCTTCGGTTTGAACAAAAAGAATAAGCTATGTGACTTGTTTCCCTTAACTCATACAGTACCTATTTTTCCTTTTTTCTTTTCATAACTTTTATTTTAATTAATAGTTTATTCTGGTAATAGCATTTGAGTATTCTATCTTGCTTTATCTTGCTTTACTTTTTAATACATGTGATATTTCTATTATGCCCATTTAGATTAGTTTTGTTTTTAGTCTTCATTCATTTTCGTCATATTTTAATATTTAAGGATTTTTGGTTTAGGTTTTTTTTTCTTTTAAAAATTGTAATTATGGTGATGATTCTTAATCCTTAAGCATTCAAGTGACGTGAACTTATTTTGTTTTGTTTTTAGAATCATACTTTATTTTGCATTTTAATTAACTTATGTTTTGGTAGATTTAGGACTAATATTGCATTGTGAGTTTGATTCTATGTTTCTATATGCTAACTCTAGCCTCAAATTTCATTTACATCCCTTTGAATTCTAATTTGTATTTAGTCTCCTTAATTTATTTAATTTAATTTATGTAGTTCATTTAATTAACTTGTTTTGTCTTATTTAAGAAAAGTCAAATACACAAAAATCCAAAAATATACATCTTATCTAATTTGTACATACTCTAGGATACCTTTCAATTATTTGACTTGGCTTTTTTAAATTAGTTTAATTTATTTAATCATGTTAATTAATTCAATTGTATTAGACTTATTTAATCAAAGATATAAATAGTTTTAAACTTATACATTACTCAAAATATTTTTTTATCGAATTAATTCAATATTTTACAAAGATATTAAAAACTACACAATTCACCAACGAGCGACACGTGACTAATATCTGGCCACGTGATGAGGAGACTATATCATACTCCCCTCACTCTACATTTTAAAATAGCTAACCAACATCAAAACATTTTTCAACTAACATAATCAAAACTCAAGATTATTTTTTCAAAAAAAGAATTAAATAGCATCGTCTTCGAATCAAACTACGAAATGCGTCTACCATCACTCAACTTACAACCCAGACAAGGTTCAAGGTTAATTCGAAAGCAATTCTACACAATCTTATAAAAAACACCAACCAAATCCCGCGAACCACGAAATGGGACTCTGATTTCTCCTAGGAGGATACGTAGGCATACGATCAAAAATTGTGGCGAGTCCCGCTAACTAAATTTCAAACTCTTTTCCCTAATAAAACAATAAAAACCCTATTTCCTAAACATCGCGCTTCTAAACCTAGTATCCTTGTGAACAAGGTAGATAAAGGGTGTCTAACACCTTGCACTCGTCTAGAATCGAGTAAAACTTAAAATCTCTGAATTTCTTTTAGGGTTATTCCTTTATATCCCCTTCCTTTAGGATAAAAATTAAGGGTGGCGACTCTAATTTCAAAATAAGTTGCAACTGCTGGAGACTCTGCTGGGGACTCAATCCTAGGTTTAGAAGCCTTATCTTTCGATTTAAGGGTTTTTAGGATTTTTTTCTTGTTTCTTTCGGATTTTATTATTTCTTGTTTAATTATTTTTTATTTTTCTTGCTTATTTTTTTTATTATTCATTGTGTTTATATATCTGTGGTGGGGTTTATAATTTTGTAAAATTATTCTCAAAAACCTTAGAAAGAAGGTTCATCTATTAGCCAATGGGTTACATCAATCCTATGAATTTATGTGATGACTTCGCCTAGAGTCGGTGGAATTCCACAAAAGGAATACCTCTCGAGAGACATCCTCTTGGGAAGTAGGACTTTGGAATGATACCTATGACTCTTTGTACGACCTTTAAACCGAAAACTTGTAATGAGACCTTTTATGACCTAGAGATGAAAGTTTCATTCTATAAAGGGACTCCTCTTAAGGGAGGCCCGTGTGCCTTTCCCTCTAGTGTCATTCATGATACCCTTAAGGAAGCAACCTCATGGGGAGGGTAGAATATCCATAGGACAATACTAAGAACCTACCTTCTAAGAACACCTTTCACAAATCCCACTACAATCTGTAAACTTGCAAAGGTTATCCCTTCACCCACTACTATCTCTAGCCCGTAGGGCTTCTGTCTTTATCATCATCCATGTCCTGTAGGTACTCCTCGTCGTTTTTCATTGGCCATAATCCTTAGGGAATTCCTACATATCTCAATCTCTAAGATAATGTAGAAGCAAGAAAACAGAGCTACCTGAATCGCTGAATCTCTGGATTTGTTGCTACGCTCACCATGATTGAAGAAGCCTCTGGCCAGTAAGACTATAACTCTATGATTTTTCATCCTTTCCAACCTTTCTTCACACTAGAGCATGTGTTATATCCCATAGAGTGATAACCCCAAGGTCTCAGGCTCCGATTCTTCAACATCTCCATTTGGTTGCAGTTTTTAGATACCTAGGGTTTTCCATCTTTTCATTTAGTTTTTGTTTGGGTGAAGATTGAGGGAGTGTGACAAAAAATGGAAGAGGGAGGAATATGGAGCAAGATGACGGTGGAAGGATATAAACGCTGTGGCAGTGGATTAGAAATTGAAAGGGATTCATTGTCGTTTCACAAGGAAGAAGAGAGTTTGTTTAGTGACAATTCAAGAAACACGGATGTAACCCTCTCCATTCTATAAAGACAATGTTTTGATTTCTTAATCTTGTTTTCTATTAGATTAATAATTATATACAGATTAAGTGAAATTTAAAAACAATATTTTGGTGATTCTCTCGTAATGGATCAATCCATTGGACCTGGACCGAAATTCACCAAATAAGCCTGCAGAGTTTCTTTTGGTCTAAGGGAAATACAATAAAAATATGCTTCCGGACCGGACCCTGAATTGGCCCAAGGGTGTTTTTTTAATGAAGCTTATTGCTTTGAAAACAAACAAAACTAATGTTTCTCTTTAATGGGCCTTCAACACCTAAATACTCCAGTACCACCTGTTTCAAGATTCACACCCCCTGTGTAGCCTTTTCTATTTTTCTTAATTTTTTATATATACATATTTGTTAGATGATATTTTTGTTGATAAGAAATATTGATGAAATAAAAAAACACTAATAAAGAAGATGTTAGATTTTTTTATTTGTTTTTTTTAGGAATTAAATCCCGATTATCCGATTACTTGAGATTGGTAGTTCCCTTTGCTTGTTGAGATTTGAGTTTTATGCAGGTTTATCGTGTGATATACGAATATGCTCGAGACTTTGATTGTGATTTATTTTCACATCGATGATACTTCAAAACTTATTCCGAGTATTTGATTTCTGACTCTCTTCTTTGATTGGTGAAGCTTTCACAAAGATCGCCGGGTTTCTTTGTTTTGATACGCTTTGCTATGGATTAATATTCGGTTGGTATTTTCCCTTGTTTATCTCATTTTATCATTTTATCGCTTTCTAGAGATCATGTATAGTAGGGGCATTTATCACTTTCTAGAAATCATGTGAAGTAGGAAGCAGAAAATAAAGAGCGTGTGCTCGAAGTATCTGTTTAATGTCCTGTAGCAGGCACCGCTTTCTGTATGCTAATTGGGATTGTTTAAAATCCTACCTTCGAGGTAGGTATTTTGCATGCTTGTTTACATTTGTGCCCGCATTATATTAAAGATGATAAGTCCTCAAAAGGAGGAGAGCGGGGAGGGTCCATAATCGACCCCCGCACATTCTAGTTCGGGTCATCCTTAGCTCACGTTGTACGTCGATGCTTCGGAGTTGTGCAGATCTTGTGTATCGAGTCCGTCAAGTAGGGAAGGGTTTTGCAATCAAACCCCCACACTTTGTCAAGAGTTTGCATTGGATAATGCTGACACTCCGTGATCATTCGTATCATCTTCTGTCGCCTACCTCGATCTTCTATATCTTGGTTAGGTGTTTAGTCGCTTTGGACGTCACATTTTTGTGTGCTTTTGCCAAAGCACTTGTTTGCTTATTTGTTTGATATACCATGCTTCCCTTAGGATCGCTCGACTAGAGTAGTCTCCAAGATAGACATTAGGATTGTAATCCATTCATGCTAACATATGGTAGAGATTTCCCTTTTAAAACTCAACTATAGGATCAATCATTGTATGATAACATTAGGGATAGATTTAGGTTAGTCTCCTTTAGATGTTTTCTTTTCTTTTGCATCTTTGTATTTAAAACAAAATCTTCTTTTTTTCTCAAAAAATGCATAAAACATCTAACAACTTCTAAATACTTATTTAAGGTAAAAGATATCAACCAATACAAACTCTTTTGCGCCTTCGGGCTTTTCTTTCAAACTTTTCAGAAAGAACATGTTAATTCACTTCTGTGTTGACGCGTAAGTCTCCAAAGGCCGAGTTGCGGAAGAAGGCGAAATTAACGTTGTTCATTAAAAAATACAAACCAACAAAAACTTTTGAAGCCGAACTACGGCTGCTCTGATTCCTTAAAAGGGATACGTAGGCATCGGGGTAGGGCCCGAACGAGCACAACTTTTATTTTCTCTACATTCTTTTCTCCTTTATTTTGCATACATTCCCTATACAGCTTAGATATAGATTAAACACACCCATAAGATAGAACAACAAGAGTGGATACCATAGAATACTACGGGCGTGTGGGGTGCTAATACATTCCCCTCGTGTAATAGACTCTCTTACCCATATCTCTTGGTCGTTTGACCTTGACTTCTCCCTTCTCAGGTTTTCTCTATGTTTACCTTTCCCTTCCCGTGGGATAAAAAACATTCGATGGCGACTTCATTGATTTCATTATCAATTGATTGTTCAGCCATTTGTTTCACCGCCCTTTCGGGTTTTCAGTCCACCGGACACCCTTTCTTGTCCAAGCCGCTTTTTCAGGTTTTCGACTTGTCGGGTGTACAATCTTTTATATATATCCCCAATTTTTCCCTAGGCCAGTCAACCTAGCAGGTCGTTTTTCATGGGTAGTATCTTTTGACTATGTCCGCAT